AGCTACAATACAAAAGCATTGTTTAGCACTTAGGACTTTTCAACTAGACTTGATACAAATACAAGGATGATTTTAATGTGTTAGTCTCATTTAGACAAACAATACCATGAGTTTAAAACTGAACAATTTATTTTATTTTATTTTTTTGATATGGAGTCTCACTCTGTTGCCCAGGCTGGAGTACAGTGGTATGATCTCAGCTCATTGCAACCTCGGCCTCTAGGGCTGAAGCAATTCTCCTGTTTCAGCCTCCAGAGTAGCTGGGACTACAGATGTCTGCCACCATGCCCAGCTAATTTTTGTAGTTTTAGTAGGGATGGGGTTTCACCTTGTTGGTCAGGCTGGTCTCGAACTCCTGACCTCAGGTGATCCACCCACCTTGGTCTCCCAAAGTGCTGGCATTACAGGCGTGAGCCACCACGCCTGGCCAGAACATTTTATTTTTATAAACATGTGAAATTTAATAAGAAATCATTTTCCCACTATTTCCCAAGACCAGTGATTCAGCATACCAGGTGACTAGAAGATATGCCGAGAAATTTGAGAGTTGAGATGTCCAAGTTAGTGAACTTAATTCTTTGCATTTTAAATAAACCTTAAGCTGGTACCAAGCTAGATGTAAGCAGACTTACCTGAAGTGATTTGACTTAGCAAATGTCTTCTAACTTAACACTTCAGTACTGGATGGGAAATGGCATTCATTTCTATCTGAAAACAAATGCAGTGGAAATAACAAAATTAAAAAGAATTTCTAGGTACCTTATAGAAGCCAATCAGATGATTGCACCTGAAAGACCATAAAAGAGTTATACGAAGTTCTATAAAATTTACAGTTCTGATACTATGTATAATTTGAGAATCTAAAATAAAAATCTCAAGCTGTGCTCAAAGACTTCTAAAATAGGAGATATATTGTCTTCACTTATTTTTATGTCAACCTCCTAAAAATTTTAGAAAACATATTATTAGATATTTAACCCTGATTTAAACTGAATTATTTAAAATTTAGCTGGCATTTGTGCCCTACTCAGTATCATAGGGAACAGGGAGCCATGAAGTTGAATAAGAGACAGTTCTTGTCCTTAAGAAATACAAACCGCCATAAGAGGCAAACACGAAAAACTCTATATTGAGGTAGATGTAGTAAGTGCTACAAGTGACACAAGGCACTGTGGGATTTTGGAGTACGTTAATTACTGTAAGGAAAATGTGGGAAGGCTCTGACTTATGGACTGAATACAAACAGAAAGAGGGAAATGGGGAGGGAGATCTATAAGGACTGGGATTTGGGGCTGAGATTATATTGTAAGAAGCTGCATGCTAGAGTCAGTACATGGGGCTTTATTTATATATAAAGAGACATCAAGGGTGTTTGGCAGAAAACACATTCAAATTTGTATTGTAAAAGATGGCTCTGGTTTTCAAGTGTAAGTTACCATGAGAAAATTCAAAAAGCAGTAAGATCCATTTTGTTACTACAGTAGTCAAGATGAGAAGAAATCAGAGTAACTGCAATAAAAGTAAAAAGTTTAAAATTCTCTGAAGATATACTTGAAAATGAGAAGCATAAAGACCACCTAAACAATTATGCAAGACTGAGATCTGAAACCATCACCAACATTCAGTTATACGGTTACAAACGTAGGATTCTTAGGCCACAATAGACCTTTCTTTCCGATCAGAACCATGCATTGTTTACATCAACCATGAACTTAAGAAATCAACCAATCCAATGACTCGCTTCATTTCTGATAACCTGTCCTAGAACTTCGGAGCTCCAACCTATAATAAAAATCTTACACAAATTTTCTCTAAGGAGGTATCATTTCAGAATCATCCGTGTAGTCTTATTTACTGCACTAAGTCAATAGAACAGTTTGCACATCTCCTAAAAGGTTTATTTATTTCAGAAGGGGCCTTCCACAAAATACGGATATCTATCAATGAAGTCACGAAAGAAGAGCAAAAGAAGAACGTGCCCAGTCCTGTCTTTTCAGGGCAGAAGAACTGAGAAGAACTTACCAGTCCCTGGGAACCTTCGGAATACGTTTCAGAAAGGCAAGAGAAGTAAACAAAGACTTCCAATAATTGGCAAATTTTTTTAAAGGAGAAAAAGTGGAATTAATCAATAAATTTTAGTCTTCTAAGAAGTCTGGCATACTTTGAAAGTGAAGCTGAATCTTTAACAAGGTTTTCATCATTGGTGGTTTTTTTTTTTCTTCCATTTTTAATGCTAGTAACAGGAAGAAATATAAGGGAGATTGCTAAATAATGGAACAAATTCAAGAGAAGATGGGAACAAGAGCTTTAGTGCAGTTAATCATGTTAAAGAGGAGAAACAGTTGTTTCTCTACGGTTAGAAATAGAGGAAAGGATGGGTGACGAATATAAACATTTTGTGTGTAAGGGAGTAAAGCTGAGGGAGTTCAGACCCAATCGCAAGACCATCTATTGAGACAGAGGGAAAGAGGGAAAGGGAGGAGAATGGAGAAAAAGAGATGGAGAGAAAGTATATGAACAGAAAAAAATATTTGAATTTAAGAGTTTAAAAGAAAAAAATTGCCAGACAATAAGAAAACAGAAAAGAGAGGCTTTCAGTATTTAAGATACTGAAACAATTCTGGCTGGCAAAACACTGTGAGTTCTGAGTATCAGAAAATCAAAAATATGAATTTGGAGAAACAGATTATAGTCACATGGTATGGGCTGACATTACTTTCAAGCCTGGTGGTGACACCACTGAAGAATTTGGAGCACTGTCCTGGAAGTCAACTAGTAACAGGAATTAGAAAAGGGAGATGGTAGTGAAAGAGTTACAAGAAAAGGAACTAGTGAACAAAGGTGGCATGCCGAGCCTTGAATTGATACTGGTAAGCAAAGGTACAGATCAAGCCTCCTTTCAAACCTAGGACTTTGTAAACGCCACGCTTCTTCATGTCATGGTAAAAAAAAAAAAAAAAAAAAAAAAATTACAGCCTTTGAATGCCAGGTTTAAATTTCTAGGGAAGAGAAGGGAAAACAGGTATGAGAAAAGATCAAAGTTATAAAACTTGTTCACAATAGAGCATAAGGTCCAAACAACATAAGGAACTGAAAGTAAGTCAGCAGTGGACTAACTGTGGGTTCCATCTGAACTGGGAGGGCATGACTGCTTGGAAAAATGGACCATAATAAGACTAGGACGTCACCTAAGTTGTAGGTGACAAAACACCAACCTTTCTCCCTCTTTCTGACACATCTGTTTGGTGAGAAAGGGCAAAAGACTGGCCACATGTGTCATCAGTCTCTGACTCTCAGAACTTGCTTGCCCAAATGCAAATACATTGTCCAGTCATCTACATAGTAAACACTACAGGAAAAGTTAAGTCTATCCAATTTGAAGGGGTAGGAAGACAAGATGCAAAGCTAGGTGTATTCTTTTACCTAGTTTCTCCATAAACAAAACTGACATTTTCATTCTCATCTTAAGTCTACTTCTTAAAGAGTTCAAAAGAAAGAATAAAAAAGTGATATAATTAATTGGTCCCTTCAAACTCCAACAACAGGGATGTAAAATAAATAAATGGAAAGTATGAAGAAAACTATGGGGGGGGTGGGTTGAGGGGAGAACTCGTCAGCTACAGTGGTTTTAAATTTCTAGACACACTCAAGGACTTAATATTGAGACCCAATTTAGTTGATGAATGCCACTAGAGGTGGGGAGATTTCTAATTAAGGAGTCGATACCTCTAACAGATAGAGCAGTATTCAGATTTTTTACTTCTGTCGCCCAGGTTGGAGTGCAGTGGCGTGATCTTGGCTCACTGCAAGCTCCGCCTCCTGGGTTCATGCCATTCTCCTACCTCAGCCTCCCAAGTAGCTGGGACTACAGGCGCCTGCCACCATGCCCGGCTAACTTTCTGTATTTTTAGTAGAGACAAGGTTTCACCGTGTAAGCCAGGATGGTCTCAATCTCCTGACCTCGTGATCTGCCCACCTCGGCCTCCCAGAGATTTTTTACTTCTTTTGAGTCATTTTTATGTTGTATTTTTCAAGGGAAAGTGCTAAATAATGGAACAAATTCAAGAGAAGATGGAATAAGAATGTTAGTGCAGTTAGTTATATTAAAGAGGAGAAACAGTTGTTTCAAGGAATCTGTTTATTTCATTAAACTGTCAAATGTATTGACATAAAATTGTTCATAATATTTTCTTATCCCTTATATATTTCCTGGATCTCTATTAATGTTTCCTGTTTATTCTTATATTGTTAATTTGAACTTTCATTTTTTTTTCTCAGTAGGGGTTTATTACTTTTGTTAATCTTTTCAAAGAAACAACTTTTGGTTATGTTGATTTTTTCTACTTTACACCTAGTACTCTTTCAGACTTTTTTTTTTTTTTTTACTGACATTCTGCCTACTTGTTCTATCAATTGAGAGAAAAGTGAGAAAGAGAAGTGTTGAGATAACTAACTGTAATAGATTTATCTATTTCTCTTTTCTGTTCTGTCCATTTTTGCTTCAAGTATTTTAAGGCTCTGTTATTATTAGGCTTATAGACATTTAAAATTATGTCTTTTTAATTAATTGATTCTTACATCATTATGAAATATTTCTCAATACTGCTAGTATTATCTCATGTTTTGAAGTTTATTTTATTGGCTATTAATATACCTCCCTCCAGTTTTCTTAATAATTAGTATCTGCATGGTATCTCTTTTGATTATTTTACTTTTAACAGCTTTGTATATATTTGAAGGGAATATTTTGTAGACAGTATAGTTAGGTCTCGCTACTTTATCTAGCCTGATGATTGCTGTCTTTAGAATATTTAGATCATTTAAACTTAATGTAATTATTTATATGGTTGGATTTGAATGAATTATCTTGTTATTTTCTATTTGTCCCAATCTGTTCTTGTTCCCTTTTCCCTTTTTTTCTGCCATATTTGAAACAGAATATTTTTTAGTTTTCCATTTTATCTCCACTACTGGCCTATTATAAATATACTTGTATCTTTGTAGTTTTAGTGATTGCTCTCATGTTTAAAATATGCACATTTAACCTGCCACAACATAACTTCAAATATTATACCACTTTACATACAAAATATAAAAACTTCATAATAAAATTTATCTATTTCCTCCTTCCTGTCTTTTGTGCTACTGTCATCATAGTCTAACTACTGTAGGACCGTTATAGTAGAGAAGCTATATGCAGGTCCTTGGGTTGACAGTCTCAGATAAAACTAGGTTTTGGGTTATCTTTGCCAAAGTGCCAGAAATGTGATTACAGCTGTCTTCAATCCTCCAGACCCCACTGAGCTCATTCTCGAGTTGAAGGCCACCAAGTGATCTCAGGTGATGCTACATGAAGAAAAATAACCACCGGCTGAGCCTGCCCTTTTCTCTGGCCCACAAATTGTGAGGTACAATAAAGTGGCTGTTGTCTTAAGGGGATGTGTTTAGGTAATTTCTTACACAGAATTAGAGAACCATAACAGAATCTAGTAAAGGGAAGTGGAATTCTGTAATAAAATCTTAAAATATGTGGCATTGGTTTTGGGACCAGAGGTGAGCAGAAGCTGGAAGTGACTTAAGAAGACTGTTAGTGAAAGTTTGAACAACATTAATGAAAACCTTATGGAGGATACAGGAATAACTCTTCTTATGCAGTGGGAAGTAACACTGTTCCTTACATGAAATAGAAAAGACAAAATAAGCTGGGT